TTCCAGTGAAATATATTTATGTTTGTGGTTGTAATGTGACAAAATATGGAAAAGTTCAAGGGGTATGAATACTTTTGCAAACCACTGTATGTAGACCAGGACTATTCAACTAAATGACTCAGGGGGCCACAGTTACATACATCCCATCAGGGGCCAGACATCTAATAGTGGGGGTTAGGGTTAGTTGGTTTAGAACTGCCCAATATTTTTAGGGGAAACACTGTATAAGAACAAGCATTTTTATCTTTTACTTTTTAAACGTGTTTGTTTTGCTGCATTAATGCATAATTCAAAAAGATAAAATTGATTTCAAATCTAATTTTATATAATACATTTTTGCTTGTTTTTAAAGGGGAGTGGAAAAAAGCAAAATCGACTGTTTTGAGTTTTATATCATTATAATGTCATTCCCCCATCAAAAACATACCCAGAATGTTGCTTTGACTCTTTCATGCATGTTCGAGAAATCCTTGATTCTCAAGTGGAGCTGCCTAAACGCTTGCTTCTACAAAGCACCGCCCATTTATACAAAGCTCCTCCCTGTAGTTCAGTCCCCAGCTGAGCTCCCGCCCCACAGAGCACCCCTCCCCCACGCCTCCACCAGACTAGCAAATTGCACTTTACACATGGTGGATGTTCGCAATTTCATTGCAAAACATAGCTTCACAAGGATCTATATTTATGGTTTCTCTGCAAAAAATAGCTTAACATTGATGTCTATGTATGAGAGGATGACTGAAACTGAAACATCTTGTAAGAGCCTCTGTACTCAGAACACGTACTTTCCAGGCCTGAGCACCAAGAATGGACCGGCTACAGGTTTTAATATCAGTGGAGTCTCCACCGTGGAGACCTTACTGCAATACCTGGTTGAGCAAGTGATGCACAGATTTATTACCTCCGCCAAGGGCGAGGTAATGTTTTCGGTCGCGTATGTCTGTCTGTCGTTCTGTCTGTGGACAACATTACTCAAAAACTTGTGGACGGATTGTCATGACATTTTTACCACGTGTGTACTGCCTCAAGTAACACACCGTTACATTTTGGTGATGTTCTGGATGACGATGCAGATACAGGAATTTTTTTTTTATTTTAACACCATTATTACTTTTTCATGTCCCTAGTGGGTTTCAAAGTGTCCAGCAGGTGGCACTGTAGTACTGGTGTGCCCCTTTGTTCTAAGACAGAGGAGCCCAAAGTGGGGCCCGCGGGCCAAATTTGGCCCACCAAGCCATTTGATTTGGCCCACCAACAGTTGCCAAAGTTAAAAGGTTGTAACCTGTTATTCTATGTAGAAACACAGTATTTCCATTGGTCAAATGACTATATAAAAGGGCTGTAGAGAAGGTAGTTTTCATTCATGCTGTTGACTTTAGCTTTGATTTATAGGATTAAACATGAAACATGAAATGACAACCATAAATATTTAGATCAGATTTAACCCCACGTGTAGATTTGCACACTTCATGAGGCGACAAAAACTCATATTTTATCAATTTATGATATGTCCCATGAGCCTTTGCTACTTGAGAGTATGGCAGACTTTGTCCAAGCGCACAGACTTAAACAAAAGAGGGCCATTGCATAGCATAATCGCTAAAAATAAAGGACTTTACTTAAAAATTATTCGTATTTCATGTATTATATTACTGCATTTGGCCCGCAGTCCTGGATAGATTTTCATTTTGGCCCTCTCAGGGAAAATGTTTGGGCGCCCCTGTTCTAAGAGCTAAGTCGCATGTGTGATGTCATATTATCGTTCTACATCATACCTTCACTGTATGTGCACAGAATATGTCTGCTTACATCTGTGCTAAGATATTGATTCAATTTTATTACCTCCGCCAAGGGAGAGGTAATGCTTTCTGTCGCTTATGTCTGCATATGTTTTCAGATAAATATCTTGGAATACATTGAAAGTTCAGTACCCATCATTTACTATTATGTCTAAATACATGCAACATGATGTTACTATATTCACTATAAAGCACTGGAAACGTGACTTTTCCAAGGGGAACCTTTCAGTAAAATTGACCAATGTCCTTGGCGGAGGTTTGCGCTCTTCGAGTGCTTCTAGTTTATTAATTTTTTTGATGAAGCAACGCTATTTAACGTCTTTTATTGAATGAGAAAACAGGAGGAAAAGTTCTGTGCTGGAAACTACAGTGCTGCTGTCCCTCCACAAAAGTGCAGAAACCTGTGGATGAAAGTCGGCAGACATGCACAGTCAGGTCAGTTTTCCACAATCAGAATAAAAAGATCGGATTAAGTGTTTACATGCACACTGTTCGGATTATCAATCGGCATAAACCATCTCTTATTCTGATTACAAATTCATTCGGATCACACTGAATCAGATCAGAATAATCCGAACGGGGTGTTTACATGACATTTTTAGTTCAAATGGCCGTTTAATCCAATTACTTATGTCCATGTAAATGTAGCTACTGATGTGAGAATCTGAAGTCATCTACAGGCCACATGTGGCCTGCGGGCCGCCTGTTGAACAGCCCTGATATAGACACTAAAGAACAAAGAAAGAATAAATGGCCATCTGAATGCTCAGGAAAGTAATATCGCAAGTGTATTACACTAACGTTGTACCAGATAAGGTCCTTTTAGGCTAGACTACAAATGAAAAACATCCAGTTTGTTTTCAGAAAATATATTATGTTTTGATTTGTTATGGCCAGCACAAAAACAACTCACTTTTGTTCTGAGCCTGAAACTAAAGAATCTATAAACCTCAAGCTTTCATCTTTAGACACCGAGCAGAAAATCTAATTGGTTCACTGTTTGATGAATGAGTATTGTAAGGAGTTAAGGTGGTTAAGGTGGATACCGTAAAAATTCCAACTCCAAAAAGAGATAAGGGAAACAGCTGGGTGGGGGGGGTGGTACACCGCTCTGACATTTTATTTTTCACTTGGATAACATTTTATATACACAGTAAGTGTAAATGAATGTAGCATCTGTCATTATGATTTATTTATTCTGCACTAAACTGAGGAAATGTGCAGCAGATTAAATAATAAGACGATGCTAAACTGAGCATCTGCTGTTTTGTTTTACATAATTGTAATTTAAAAGCTAAATCAATACAACTTTTTGCTTGATTAGAGTTGACTGAGTGGAAAAGTTTTTTTTAAAACACAGAAGCAAAACACTTTAAAAACAGTATGTGCCGTATTCTTTACGTATTAAAAAGGGATGCAAACAAAGTGAGCCTCTTCCACGCAGAAGGTGTTTGGCAGCTGCAGAAACGCTGGGAACCATTTATTACATGACAGCATGTCTGAGGGGACACGGAGACAGACGCTGCGTTGTGATTCACCGTCATGTCATTAGACTGCAAAGAGGAGCTGAGGAAGGGCAAAAATACATTTCACCAAGGCTTCTGTCACAAGTGGAACGTGTTGAA